GGTGGGGGGGCTGGGATTCAGGACCGGGTTTGTGAGTGTGTGGCTTGCCTGGTGCCATGTCCCTGTGTGTTTGACATCCTCTGTGTGTCCGTGGGTCTGGGAGTGTGTGAGTCAGACTCATGGAACGGGCCCAAGTGTTGGGCCACGCTGACCTGGTTCTCCTCCCAGCCGCCGGTTCAGTGTGGTCTTGGGCAAAAGCTTCACCTGCCTGAGCCTCCACTCTCACGTTGAGCAGGTTGCAGATGGCGCTGAAACCGGTGGTGCTGGGAGGGTTTGTCCAGGGCTGGGCCGCCAGGGGCCTCCTGGTGGGAGCGGCCCGGCTGCTGGTGCTGGCCAGTGGGGAGCACGTGGGCATGTGCTGGCGGGCAGGGCCAGGGAGGGCGGGCTCTGTGCCCTTATCGCTCCCGCCTGCCCCCAGGACAAGCGCTTCACCTCAGGAAAGTACCAGGACGTGTACGTGGAGCTGAACCACATCAGGACGCGGTCGGAGCGGGAGATCGAGCAGCTGAAGGAACACCTGCGCCTTGCCATGGCCGCCCTGCAGGAGAAGGAGGCGCCACGCAACAGCGTGGCCGAGTAGAGGTGAGCCGGCCTGGAGGGCACTCAGGGCTGTGCCACCTGCCAGGGCACGTCCTTTCCCTGGCCTCTGCTTCCCTTTCTGTAAATGGGGACAGTGGCGCTTCTTAACCACAGCCTGGTCAGTCCACACCTCGGCGTGGGTGGCAAATGCGGCGCCGGCCCCCCTCAGACCTGGCAGCGGGCACACGGCACTAATAGTCTTCTTTCCGCTGAGCTCCGCACCCAGACATCCCGACAGGGCAGCTCCCTCTTTCTGACAAGTCCTGTGGACATCTGAGCACTCGGGAGAGGCCGCCCTGTGCCCGCTATGTGGGGAGAAGCCTGGAGGAGCAGATCTGGGCCAGCCTTTGGGGCCCAGAGGTGTTGGGAGGACCTCCTGGCCACCCTTGCATAGCCTAAGCCACGCTGGGGCCCAGGACCAAGGCCGGGGCTTCCCCAGGCCTCACCAGTCCCTCTCTTGTCTTCCAGGTCCTGTGGTTCGGCCCAGCTGCAAACTCCCAGCCCAAGGGGACCAGTTGCCCTCCTTCCCTGCTGGATGGAAGTCAGAAGCCAAGCTTTCTCCCCACCCTCTGTGGGCTACACGTGCACTCACAGCTGTCAGACGCAGGCACACACACAGGCACACACACACACTGCACAGACATACACACTGCACAACCAGTTGCCCTCCTTCCCTGCTGGATGGAAGTCAGAAGCCAAGCTTTCTCCCCACCCTCTGTGGGCTACACGTGCACTCACAGCTGTCACACACAGGCACACACACACACCTCACAGGCATACACACTGCACAGGTACACTTACACTGCACAGGGACACACACACACCTCACAGGCACACACACTGCACAGGCATATACACCGCACAGATACACTTACACTGCACAGGGACACACACACACCTCACAGGCACACACACCGCACAGGCACACACACACTGCATAGGCACACACACGGGCATACACATAAGCACTGCATAGACACACACACAGGCACCACAGGCATGCACACACACACAGGCACACACACAGGCACACAGGCACTGCACAGGGACACAGGCACCACAAGGCATGCACACACAGGCACACACACTCAGGTGTACACATGCACAGGCATGCGCATGTACACCACACACATGCACAGGCGCACGCACACACACTCTCTGCATATCTGAGCGTGCCCCTCGCACTGGGTCTTCTTACCTTGCACCTTCAGGATTTTATATGTGAAGAGATTTTTATATATAGACTTTTTCCTTTTTTTTTTTTTTTCCAAAACACGTACTTTTTGAAAGCAATACCTGGTGGCTGTGTGCCTCCAGCACTGGCTCCCCTGTCTCCAGCCTCCCGCTTGGGCTCCTGGGGTCTGGCAGCGGCCCTGGCAGAGTTGATTCTGGTGGGAGAGGCAAGGAGCCAGCCACCCTCCTCCCACCCTACCTCCTGCTAATTACTTCCTGCCCTGGAGGGTCCTGCGCCCTGGGACTCTGAACAGAGGGACGGAGGGCGCCTGCCTCTGTCTCCATGGCCCCACCTCCCCCTCGGAGTGCTGGGCGTGGAACCGGTGGAGCTGCTGTGAAGGCCGTTTTCCTCCTGCTCCGTCGCCTTCTTAACTTAATAAAGTGTTCCTGCAGCTCTGGTGTCCTGGATGGCTGGGGCAGGGCGGTGATGGAGGTGGGGTTCCCCGCCCCTGCCCCCAGCACTGCACCCTTCCTGCAGGTGGCCTGTGGGCTTCTGAGGGCGGAGCTGAGGATCTAGCTCCTCCTCCAGGCGATGCTCTGCAGCTCTGCGTGGGTTACAGACCAGCACCAGCACCCCCACCAGGGAGCAGGTTAGAAACACCAAGTCCAGGTCCCACCCACCTACGGACTCAGTGTCTGCACTACATTACAGTCCCAGTGGTTCATGCACCTCTGAGACGCCCTGGGGCTGGCGCTGGGCCCAGCTGGACCTGAGGCTCCCCCTGACTGACCTGGCAAGTCACATCCCCTCTCTGAGCCTCTCCATCAAATGGGCGCCTTTTAGTCCCAGTCCCTGAGGCTGTGCCCAAAGGCCATGCTCTGCCCTGGACAGGGTCGGGCGGTGGCAGTGGATGTGGGAGGCCTCGTCACGGCTGACTGGATGTGCCGATCTTGGTCACATGTGGGTTGGAACAGGCCCCCCTGAGCTGCCCCAGGCCAGGCCGGCTGTCCAATTAGCAGGGCTGTGGCTAAGATGATGAAGACGTAAGGACAACTTGAGCCAGCTTCACCCTCACGGCTGTTCCCATCAATCCTTGGGCACCTCAGGCCAGGCACGGGTGCATAGAGATGAACAAGAACTGGCCTGGCCCCACTGCAGCCACATCAGGTTGGGTCCTAGAAGGCTGTGGGAACCTGGTGTTCAGGAGAGACCGCAGGGAGCGTCCTGATGGGGTTGGGGAAGTGGGCCTGTTCCCTTGCCAGCGATGGGTTAGGAGTGGGCACGGGATGCCGTTCCAGCCACTGAGATGCAGGAAGTATTGGAGGTGGAGGGCCAGAGGGGTCGTCTGGGAGGTCTTTCTTGATCTTAAAAAGGGTCCCAGAGCCGTGTCTGGTGTGGCTCGGTTGGAGCGTCGTCTGTGCACTGAAGGGTCTCAGGTTCGAATCCCTGTCAGGACTCATGCCCAGGTTATGCGTTGACCCCTGGTCAGGGTGCGAACAGGAGGCAACTGATCAATGTTTCTCTTCTCCCTTCTCTCTCTAAAATCAATAAAAACGCATATCCTACTTTAGCCAGTTTGCTCAGTGGATAGAGCGTCCCAGGTTCAGTTCCACTCAAGGACCTTGGTTGCAGGCTCCTCCCCAGCCCCAGCCCTGGTCAGGGTGCGGGCAGGAGGCAACCAATCGGTGTGTTTCTCTCACATGGATGTTTCTGTCTCTCCCTCTCTCTTCCACTCTCCCTAAAAGATCAGTGGAAAAATATCCTGGGGTGAAGATTACCAAATAATAAAAATTAAAAAACGAAACTAAACATCCTCGGGTAAGGATTTAAAAACGGGGTTGCGGGTTCATAAGGAAGGAGACTTCTCTCCGGGCCTTTGGACAGTGGTGGGGGAAGTCCTGACATTGCCACCATCTTGCCTCATCAACGGTCAATAGTGGCTGAGCAGAAAGAATCAGGATCCCTGAGCCATCGGGTCCCCCTGCCTCGGGACTTCCTGTCTCATGAGATAAGGCGCGTCGCAGAGCCGCTCAGAGATGCAGTGTCTGCACTGCAGCTCAGCATCCAGAGGGTTGAGTCCAGGTCCCCACCCATCCTCCTGTGCCCTTACCTCCCACCAGCCCCGGACACCCCTCAATTCCATCTTCAGTCCCCATGACTCCCTCAGCCAACTGGGTTTCCCAGCGTTCACCTGGGCTGAGGCACCACCCTCAGGGCCCCCTGGGCAAGCTAAAGTCAGGCCAACATGAGCTGTCACTCTCCACCTACGAGAAGAGCTCAAACCAAGAGGCCTGACAATCTCAAGTGTCTGCGAGGATGTGGGACCTGGGTTCTCGCGAGTCGCTGGTGGCAGTGCCCTTTGTGCCACCACTGTGGGCAAGAGTGTGGCAGATTCTTAGAAACACACATCTCCCCGATGACCTAGACTTCCAGTCCTGCATATACACCCAGGAGCAATGCGCGTAGGGCCACAGAATGACTAGGACGATAATATTCATATCAGCCTTATTCGTAGCAGCCCACTGAGCACAATATATATGTCCATCAACAGAATGAATAAATAAATGTTATATTCATAGGTTAGACATGCTATATGGCAATGAGAAAAGAATTCCTGCTACGCGCAACATCACGATGAATCTTCAGACACAATGCTGGGAGAAAGAAGCCAGCCACAAAGGGCGCCGGCTGCACAATTCCACGTGTGTGAAGGTCAAGGACAGGAAAACTCACTATGGTGATGGTCATGGGCCTCTGGGCTGGGCGGGAGGCTCATACTGACTAGCAGTGGGCACAAAGGGCTTCCCGAGTGAGAGAAATATTCCGTCCGTGACCGGGTGGTGGTCACAGGGGTGTGTACGCATCAAAAATGTACCACGCTGTGCATTTGTGCAGCTGACTGTGAATCACGTCTCGAAAAAAAGCTGGGTTCCAGCAGGTGCCCCGGTGAGCCACCTGGGGAAAGCCCCAGTCACCTGTCACACAGGGAATTTGGCCAAAACCACACGGCGTGGCTGCCAGGCATGTCCTATGGAAAGAGCGTAGGCTGGGGCAGCAGACAAACCCGCCTGAGTTCAGACCCAGCCGCCGCCTCCAGCTGCGTGCACCTCGCCGAGTTACAGCCCTCCCTGGGCCTATTTCCCATCTGGCTTTTGTTTTGTTTTTAATCCTCACCCAGGGACATGCTTAGAGGGAGGAAGCGGCAGGGGCCGGGGAGAGAGACAGATCGGTTGCCTCCAGCACGTACTCCAACGGGGGATGGAACCCGAAACCCAGGTATGTGCCCTAATTGGGGATCGAACTGGCAGCCCTTCAGTGCACAGGATGACGCTCCAACCCACTGAGCTACTCTGGCCAAGTTATGGCCCATCTGTGAAATGGGGACCATAATGTTTACCACCGAGGGCGTGTGGGTATTAAATCACCAGCCCTGTCAACTACCTGTCGCTGTGTAGCCAACGACCACAGCCTTAACGCTCGGAACAACTGTCTTCTATCATCACGCACGGCCCCGTGGCTGCGCTCAAACCGGCAGTTTTCTGGGCGTCTTCTTTGCAGTGGCCGTTGCACGGTGGCTGGGCTGGAGCCATCTGAAGGCTCAGCTGGGTTCAATGTCCAAAGTGGCTTCTTCACTCAGCTGGGATGACATGACAGGGACCCTGGACACGCCCCCAGTGGCCTCTGCACGAGGCTGGCTTGGCTTCCTCCCTGCACGGCAGGCCCCGGGGAGTCTGCAGTGACTTCTTCCTTGGTGGTTGACCTCCCAGAGGAAGAGAGTTTCAAGAGACCCCGCTGGGATTATAAGCTTCTGGTGACTTAGCGTGGAAGTGCTGTGGCGTCGCTTTCATCACATTAGTCAAGACCGGGTCACAGGGAGGGGACAGATGGGTCACAGACCAGACTCAAGGGAGGGGACACCAGCAGGGCATGATGTGGGGGTGGTTCCCTGGGAGCCATCATTCTTCTCTGGCTCCCTCTCCTCCTCAGGCCATGAGGCTGGGGAGCCCTGTGGGGTTTGGGCTTTGTCACTTCCTTATCACCACTGAGTCAGATTTCACTCCACCTCCCTTTACTCAGGTCCAGAGCTCCAGTCTCCCAGCCCCACCCCATCCAGGGGCTCCACAACCACTCACCCCTCTCAGCCCCAAGGACCTGCAGTGCCCCTGGGTGGGTAGGGGACAATGTCACCCCCTAGCGGCTCACCCTCAGAAAGTACTAACGATGCAGACCCCACTCTCCTCTTCCTCCTAAATGCCCCTGTTTATACCCGTGCCCCTGCTCTAACCCTGGACACCCCTCCCTCACCGGGGGCGGGGGGGAGGGCAGGATGAGGAAGGAGTAGGAGCTCAGGGCTGGGGTCAGACAGCTCTTCATCTGTCTCCTTGTACTAGCTCTGCAAATTTGGGCAAGTTATATAGCTTCTCCATGCCTCGGTTTCCTCTTCTGTAAAATGGGGATAGTAGCGCATAACTTGCAGAAG